TTTTTTTCTTATCGAGAAGACGCTCTTTTTAGGTACCGCGCACGACTTTGACATTTGCGATATTGTAGATTTATATTACAAAGTTGCGCAAATTTCCTATCGTCATATTTCAAATTTCCACTCGAATTTAAACGGAAGACTTTATTTGTTTTACAAAAAAAATCTTGTCTTTTCCAATCGTTTAATAATTTAAAAACTATTGGTACTTGAATTTATTAATTGCAACGCGTTAATGTGAATATCTTATAATATATTTTGATAATAACGCTGGAATGAGTAAACAGATCGATCGAATTCGATGCAAAACAAGATACGCATTACGAAAATAGGTGAAGTTAAACTATTCGCTTATCGCATATACACGTAATACATCGTCTGAGAAATGTTATCTGCGAGAGAAATATTTATACGTCTTCAATGTATAACTAGAGAAATGTACAGATAATGTCGAGCTGGAAGATTTTATCTGTTTGAAATCATGTGAACCGTTTTAACTCATGTATCCGAAATCAAAAAGAATGTTTATTACAATATCTAAATGTTAACAATATTTGCATTTATAAGAATTTTTACACGAGAAAAGAGTGAATAAAATATGCGTAATAGAGAAATTTGCGTTGCGTATCGTTTCTTTTTGCGTCGCAAACAATTATTAATTTTTTATGCCATACTGAGAAAAAAATTGTAAAGTTATCTAAATAGTTTCAATTAATTATTATTTTTTTACTTGAAATGTTTAAGTATTTAAGTTAAATAGACGTCATATTAGATTAATATGATATATTTAATTTAAATATTTAAATATTTAAATTAAAAAAATAATAATTGAAAATATTTAGTCAAGTTTACAATTTTTTTCAGTGTAGATTATTAACTGCAAAAAAATTAACGAAAAAAATCTGAATTGCAATAGGGATATATTAGGACAATAAGTTAAAAAAATACAAAAGATTGTAAAACAGGTATGTTCCAGCTTAGACCATTCCTCTCCCGCTCTAAAACATGTGGTTAATCTTTTGACGAGAACAATGCATTTTTTTACATAACAAATACATATGTTACATAAACAAAGTAAAGATCGAGTCTTCTTTTCGGAAAATGAATCAATACACTAAGTCAAGAAAATTGATTCCCGATCAAGTTTCTCGCAAGATGTGACATCTAATGTTAATTGATTGTTTTTTAATCGCTTTTATATTTCAATTTTCTTGAGTACAGTTTTCATAGATATATAAATAAATACGCGAAAATTTCTCTGTACTATGATAATGAAAGAGCAAAGATATAAAATTTTACTTGCAATTCTTAATTAAATCGCAAATACTTTTATTTTTAAATAATTTATATATATATATATATATATATATATATATATATGTATATATATAATTATTTAAAAATAAAAGAATTTAAGAATTAAAGCACGTTATAGATTTATAGAATTTGATTTCCGATGATGCAAGTAAAATTTTATATCTTTGCTCTTTCATTATACAGAGCTCTTTCATAGTACAGAGCTCTTTCATAGTACAGAGAAATTTTTAACGGATTTTTTTCTATTCTTCTAATATATATATAATTTCTTTCATTATACATAAATTTATAACAAAATTTAATTGCTTTATTTTCCCATATCTTACTTTTTATCTGGAAAAGGTTCTCCGCGTTTCTCTGTTATTATTTCCTTTCTGAACAAATCCAAATATTTTATATAGATACTAGATCCACAGGAAATTTGCTCCAATATATTTTTTAATGCGTATGGACGATCTATGCATAGGAAACTATTTAAACTTGGCTGAGTTGGGCGCAAGCAACAGAAACAACGGTGCTTTTCTATAACTTTTGTTTGGAGATTGTAGCCGTAGAGACGAAAATAAAAGCCGGCGCGTATTCGAGCCAATATTAGGAATAGTTAAATATTTTCGTGCAGGGCACGACTTCGTTGCTACCTGACTCGCGCGATGTGTAATCGCCAGTCACACATCCGCCATATCACACGCGCCTTCTCCGCTGTCGTTTGCCACACGAGAGAAACACGTCGAGTTGATTTTTGGCTTTCCGCGGGTTTCGAATTACGTGCCTTGCTGTTCTCACGAGACCGAAGCGATCGCCGATGCCGATTCGTCTAGGAAATTTCTCACACATTTAACTTTTTTTCTTATTCACAAAGATAAAAAATTCTAGCCTCCCCCCTTATCAGGATAATCTTCCTAGCTCTAAACAATCATATCGTTTCCATATGTAATTATACATTTATTCATTATTTTTAGATAAATCACGTCCCTCGAAAGTATTTTTTATAAAATATAATTAAGATATAATTATAAAATCTCTCGTAATATTTTGGAGATTTATTAAGTATAAAGTAATTGAAATATTATTTTTGAAGAGTCTTTTCTTCATGTCCTTACTGTGAAAATAAATCTCTACTAAAAGAGACAATTTTTTGTGGGATAAAAACACTAAGAGATTACGATAGCATTTCCTCTAATCAAAACAATCTTCTATAAGGAAAATCAAGCTTCTCTTGATTACAATTGATTGACCTATTTTGAAGATTGTTTCACAATATTTCGTAACACACAATATTCCTCTGTTATCGCTACAAGTGGAAATTAGAGAAGTATATATATACAGAGATTACAGAGTTATTCTTTTAAGAAAAAGGAGCGATCTTTCGAATGTGTTGAAAGGATTCTTTTAACCATTCTACATATATATACATCCTCCTTTAATTTCATAAAAATCGTGAAAGTTTTTATTCGCTTATCAGTATCTTTTTAATGAAAATAATATTAAGAAATTATATTATCAATAATATTAATTATATTATTAATAATATTAAGAAATGTTATCATAGTATATTTATAAGATTCATTAATGTTGATTTAGAGTAAAGTCAACACATTGAACTTTGGAAGTTCCGATAATTTATCAAAGCGTAATTAAACATTATTATGTTCAATGTAAATGCAAATTACAGATGTGATCGTTTCATCCAAGTTTCTCTCTTTGACAATATACATAATTCACTAAATGGTCTAAGAAGTTGTACTTAATACTTTGTATATACATATCATGTGAGACAAAATATATCAGTAACATAGCACTAATTTACAGTAATCGTTCAATACCAATAAGAGAATAAGAGTATTTTCTTTCAGTATGTAATCCACTGAAGTGATATGCGACTAATCGCGCGTTTACGAATGGCGAGCAATGCGATGAGCCGACGACCAAGGTCCAGATAAACTGACGTGACGTATGGTGACGAGAATGGTAAGATTCATTAACGACTAAATCGGCCAAGGTGGATCTTGCGCCTTCCATCTAGATGCACATATATGTACGACTGCATGTGTACAAGGTAAAATGAATAAAGCCAATAAGTTGGACGATATTGTGCAAATATGAGTTATAAGTCAGAAAGCCAGAAAAAATTATGTCATACGTGCAGTAGTCGAGTTGAAAATTCTAATCTTAATTTGAAATCGCTCAGTGTGATAATTATTCAACCCGCAAAAATCTGATGATATCTCGAATCAATTTCTCATCTTTCTCGATATACATGGTGTACTATATTTGTATGCATTGAAAGATGATTTAATTATCTTACAGTTTATTTTTATTTTCCAAAACAAATGCTAATAAAAATGATTAATGTGATATAAATCAAATAAAATAGCATAATAAGAAATCACAAATGTAAAAATTAGTGCGTGAATTAATACTTAATTTTGCAGTTTCAGTCTTATTATGGTATTTTATTTCATTTATTTTTTATAAATAAGAATATTGAAGACAACGTATCAAAAGCTTACGTTACATTTTAATTAATTTAATACATATTAACATTATAGAAAAATATATATCGAAAATTGTATAAATATTTAATTTTTGTCAAAGCAAGCTTATATATGTCGAACTTTATCGCTTAATTAAAATTATAAAATAGGTGAAATAGCTCATTTTTATACTTGAATCTTTTAATTTAATGATTCTTATACTTTTGTATTTTTGCGCGAACGTAATTCGTGAACGATACAAGATATAAACGGAGAATTTTTCTCCGTAGGGAGATAAAATCCAGGGATAATATTACGTCGGTATCGATTTTCACGAAACGCTAGACAGTGGACAGTTGACAGTAGAGTCAATCGCAGATGCTGCCCCGTCCATTAAATGCCGCCTTATATCACACAGGCGATATAGGTCGCGCACGTGCAGCGGCACGCGTTCTGCGAATTTTCCGAGGCTCGTCGAGTCGAAAACCAGATGACGAAGTCATCCGCGACGTTTCGCGTCGTCCGCCTACGCGAAGATACGTCGAATTTCTCGGCAAAATGTCTCGCGACGCGCGTTTCATTGCAAACTTTCTGATTCATTTCAGATTGATTGATAAAATAGTCAAATCGCGTGATGCAATTCGTCAACGTGTACAGGATATGTCACACTTGTCAAGCTTTCACAGAATCTCAGATTAATCTATTTTTTATAACAATTTTTTAAGCTAAAAATATTTAAATTAAGATTTAAGAATTTTTTTTCGGAGATCAAGTTTGTTTTGGAACAACAATTAAAATTTCTCATGTTCCTCATTTAACTTCAAATAAATTCAAGCTATTTATTATTGAGCTATTTATTATTGTTTAATATTAAAATATCACTCGCTATTATTAATATTTTTTAATTGATATCTTGATCGATTTAATATTTTTTGATATTTGTTCTCGACATTTTGTTAAAGAAAATTTAATTAATTTGCGTGGCTCGTCTGTAAACACCTATTTTATATATATTCTCGTCTAATGAGACGAGAGACAGTGTATTTTATTATTTCATTTTATGTATTTTATTATATATATGTATCACGGTCAAAAATTATGATATTCCATTTCCTTACATATTTTCTCAATCACTAAATTAAAGAACAAAAAAAAAAATTTTGCCGATTACCTCGTCGATTCAGCGCAATTCTCGACGACTAATACACTCACCCTTGAACGAATTTCGGACGAGAGTCATGCTCATATTCGTGCGAGCCGGTGCCTCGGGGGTTACGTCCGGCGGCTCCTCTTCCTCCTCTTCCTCCTCCTCCTCCTCCTCCAGTTCCGGCTTCGGCTCGTCGACGTCGCGGCCAGGTTCCGTTCTCCGGCGTGATACGTCAGCTCGATCCTCGCCTCACGACGACGAGTTCGTTGTCCAACGGCATTCTAAGGCACAGCGGCGCATCGTCATCGCTGCAACTTCTCTTTCTCCCTTCGCTCCTCTCGCGTACTTTGAACCGCTGCGGATCAAGTCCACCTTAGCTATCGCTCCTTTGTTATTCGCTCATCTGTCCTCCCTTCGCCACCTCGGTCCTACGATCTGGCGCTTCAAGTACGCACCGAGATGAACCGCTCATCTCATGATCGCGACGCGACTGCCGTAACCCGATCGACGGCTACGTCGGCCACGAGGTGGAGAACGAGGTGGAGGCACTACGAGGCGACGACGCGCGACCGATACCGGTTACGGACATCGAAGACACGTGCGTCGCAATCGTCGTCCGCGGGGAGAATTCCAGGCCGTCCTCAGGTCGAGGTGAAGATGTACTCTTGCGGAGAAGGCTCGATGTGGAGGTGCGAAACTGACGGGACGGACAAGTTCCAGACGTCGTCGCGAAAAGCGTCTCGTTTCCGCTCCGTTCCTCTTGTTCAAAGATTCGAGGATGCGACCGATGTATCAGGACGAGACGCAGAGAGACGTAGTTTTGTACGGTGAGTTATCTCGGAGATTCCAGGTGACTTTTGTGATCCACGAGAGGGAGTCGAAACGTCAGTCTCGATTGCGTGTGACTCGTACACGAGTGATATCTCTCGGCGTCTCTTCTTCGTGTCTCGTCGAGACGGTGGACGGTTGAAACGCGACGATCGCGGCCAACTACGCTTTGTAAATAATCATTGCACTCCCGCGCGCGTATGTCGCGGAAACGTCGAAAAGAGAGAGAGAGAGAGAAAGAGGAGGCGAGTGTACGAAAGGGAGCGAGAAACGCAACAAGGTAGAGAGGGAAAAAGAGAGAAAAGGGAGAGGCAGCTCGGGTATATATTCACGGGAATATCGCGCACAAAAAAATGCTCCTTTTTCCTTACTCTTCTCGCGTCGTTTCCTCCTTCTTCTCCTCTTCCATCTTCTTCTCTTTTATCCCCTCCTCCACACCTCTTCACCTTCTTTATCACCTTCACCTTCTCGATTAAGACTCCCGTTCGCGATAGAAAAGGAGAAAAGGGAACTTCACTCCCGACAGTCCCTGACTACGATCTCTCTCGATACGACAAAAGACGGACAACGAGAGACGGCGGGCGATTACGCGCGCGAGACGGACGAGAGAAAGGGGCGAGGGGGAACGGGAGGGGGGAGAGACGAATACGATATACGATACGGTAGCGCGAGGCCAGGAACGGGAGATAAGAGAAGCGAAAAGAGTGCGAGACGCGGGATGGCGGTGTCAAGACATAGTAGAGAGATAGCGAGAGCGCAGAGGCCAGGTAACGAGGCGAGAAACGATTCGGTGCGTTACTAGCAGCCTCGCGCCGAGTAGAGAAGCTAGAAGCACCGGTAAAACACGATTCCCTAACTAACACACACGGAGACAGATCGGGGACTGCTTTGGAGTTTACTATAGGATGGGACGGATGGTGATGGCGGCCGTGTAGCTTCAGCCAGCCACCGCCCCCATGCTTCTCTCTCTCTCTCTCTCTCTCTCTCCCGCTCTTCATCTCTCGCGCGCGCGCGCGCGCGTCCACCTTCCCCCTCCACCCTCGAGCGAAACCTCCTTCTCCTCGATACTGAGATCAGTCTCTTTCCCCTCTTCTTGTCCGATATACGGTGATGGACACGCTGGAATCCCTCTTCGCCTCTCTTTCTTCCCCCTCCCGCTCTGTCTCTCTCTCTCTCCTCCCTCTCCTCTCCCACACGCTGTTAACCCTCGTGGCTACCGGCCGATGAGATCTCTCCCCTGCGTCCTCCACCTACGGCGTGCCACCTCTCTCTTCCCCGTCCCTCCCAATCGCGCGATCCCCGCTCCTGGGGCAGCGAGATGTTATCCTCGAGCGATCCGTGCGTGCGCTATGTATCCGTCTGTCCGCCGTGCCGTGCCGTCGCCGTCGCCGTCGCCACATCCCCTACCTGCGTCGCGTCCGTCGCGATATCAAAGCTAGGAGCGTAACAGTCGTCCGCGCGCGCCCCGCTCCCTCCGCGTTTATTCCGGTCAAGCGATCTGACATCGCCCGATCGTACTTTTCATCTGGCCACTTGTACGTCTTCGTCACAAAATGTGTCCAATTGGCACAAATATGATACACGCGGATATATTTATAATCGAATAAAAAATCAACGGCACTCTCACTCGCATCCTCTTAAGAATTTTTTCATACGAGTTCTCTATAAGATATATCGATTAATAATTTATATTACATGATACTTTGAATATCCTCGCTGAAAAAAAGTTGTAGATTAAATATATCATTCAAGAAAGAATTTTATTGTAATAAAATTTTTATATAATAATTTGTTCCATTCAAATATATTATAATTTCTGACAATCTATAGAATCGAGAGAAGAGAGCTTTCGATAAAATTGGCGAAAGTAAATTTATCATTTCCCCGATCGTATCCAGTATCGGGGTTAAAATATCGATTCCCCATTATGACTTGGATAATATCTGACTCATTGGCGTTTCTTTTCCGATGCTTTCCAAAAATACCGCCGTGAAATGACGCGGCTGCGAATCTCCCACAATGATCTCGCAATTTGGAGAGAAAGTAAATTTACGCGCAGATTCCCGTGGCTCGTTGATGGATTTATCGACGAAGTAGCTTCTTATCGCAATGCGCTCATTAACCGGAAACCACGGTATCTTTGGCTCGACCGACACGCGGCCGTTGTTGCTCCGCTCTTTATCTGACAAGTGAAAGGATGCGCGTGCCGGTATGGTTGCTTCCTACGAAGCGCGATATAGATCCTCCCTCTTTCTTTCTTTCTCTTCCTCTCTCTTCTGAGGGTCGGCTCCATATTGGGAGAAAATGGTGAACCGTGTGTTGAGAGAGAGAGAACATTGATATGGGCTGACCTGTGAGCTATCGTGCGAGGATTGAACAGAAGCTGCCTTCTTTAACTCTTTTGAGATCAAAGTTCCACCGTGAATCGAGTTGTTTGCTATTTAAAGGTTTTTAACGTGCAAAATATTTTTTACTTTGTATTACGCGTCTCGTAATTTTTAAAAGAAAACTTAAAATGGTACTGCGTTCTTTCGCGCACGAGTTAAAATTGATAAGAGTTGTTAATTATCAAAATAATTTTTTACAGCAGTAAAAACACAAAGAATATCTCTATATAGAAAAAATACATATTTGATAATGAATGCGTTCAGCGAATGTTTCTTATAGATAATTGAAGCGAGTTTTTCTTGAAAAGAAAGTCAACGCGCGAATAAAGTTTGTAGATTGTATAAAATAAAAGTTTCGAATTCTTAAAATTGAAAAAAGCCGCTCGCATAAGATTAAAAGGTTTAAATTCCTTAATTAAAATGCAAATAATAAAATTAAGAAAAAAATCAGAGCGCACAGATAAATCATTGCTTTAATTATTAAAGATTTGATAAATTTAACGATTTAAATAATCAGTATATAAATATATAAATATTAATCAAATCTCTCTAATTTCATCAATCTCTGGCGTTTGTAGCATATATCTGTTGTTCAGATGCGTCACAGAATTCAGAATCGATTTTTCCTAAATGCGTGTGCGATGCGCATGGCACGTTTAACGAGGTTAAACGCATAACGCTAATTATGCGGTGAGAAGTGGCTTACGATAACATCCGTGGTTATCTACGTTTAATTCCCTTGACTTTTCACCGTTGTAAAGTCCGCATGGAAGGATTGCTTATGCTACATAACTCATGCGTAAACGCACATCTCAACGAAATCGTTTACTTATTCTTTCTTCTCGATGAAACAGTAGTAGCTATTCTGATCAGATGTTGATGACATTTTTTTTCGTATATACACAGACAAGAATATCATATATATATATATATATATATATATATATATATATATATATATAAATTTTATTCGAAATTTTTAATTGTAAAATCTTATATTTTATATGACATTTGTGTGTGTTATATTATTTTGTTTCTTTAGATTATATAAGATATTCTGAAATCATTTATATTATACATTTTTTAATATCAGTTTGTACTTTAATGTTATGTAAATATCTCTCTTTTTAATCATAAAGACTTAGCATTATTTTATAAAATCTCTCATTATCTCAAACTCTAAAGTAACTGCAGGTCTTGAAAATAGAAGTTATATTGGCTTTTAAACAATGTATTACTAGAATCAGTCTATTATAATATTGTGTTCTCTTCCTTGAATTATCAACTTTCTGAGAAAAGAACGCAAACACACTTTGCTCTATAAAGAAATCATTCGTCTTACAGATGAAACCGAGCATAAATAAGATAACGATGCGAATTGCATTATCGCCTCTTGTCAATAGATGAAGTTGCTATTGCCTTATTGAAGTCTTATCTATATTGCCATTAACATAAAACGATTTATAATTTACGCTTTTTCATGCAAAAAATATCTTAATTCCGCATTCGTATATCTTTCAAATGTTGCACTTTTTATCAATATTAACAATAAAATAACATCAAAAGAAATATAAGTCTCTTTTCTCTCTCGCAATAAATTAAATATATTTTCTATAAAATATTCGCACACACAGAATAAAACAATTTCTTTTCTCTAACGCGTAAACATTCGATTGTCCCAAGCACTCGTACTCTTATCTCGCTCAAGATGACGTAGTCGGATCAATCGGTGGAGTGTTTCTTAGTCACGGGTTCTTCCAAATTCAGCAATTGGAATCAGTGTAACGATTCCGTCTTCCTCTCGACGCCTCTCTCTCTTTCTTCTCACATCGCGATCCTCTCTCGCATCTTCTCCGAATACGACGCTTGCTCCACGTTACGTCGAACGTGGTGAGAACGTGGTAGCGACGCACTGTCCGTTACTATTATTAGTGTGCAGCTGCCTGCGAATTACTGAATGAAAACGGAGAACCGTCTCGGAACAATGTCCGAGAGAAAGAGAAAGAGAAAGAGACAAGTGGGCTCTCTTCGCGCGCGGGAGCGAATGGCATTGTTAAACAACAGGCAATGATCGTAATCGAAGTCGAATTGCTTGCGTCTCGCGCGTGATATGTATATATTACAGTACATATTACAGATTAATTGGTCCTCGTTGCGTAGCTTCTTTTCTCGATGAATCCTTTTTGCATATCATCAAATATAAAGAGCTCATTTTTATCGCGAAGAAAAAAAAAATAATTTTCAATTAATTCTAATAAATTCCGAATTTATTTTCATCCGACATTTTTTTTCACAAAACTGACATCGCAAGTTAATCCGTTTAGATATATCTTCTTTCCGAAATTTTTCTCAGATATGTCAAGGTAACTTTCAAAAAAATATTCTATTTATATGCACCACAAAATGCAAATACTATCTGTGATGGGATTGTCTATTATTTATGGTAGTTAGACAAATATTGTTATATTTTTTATTTTTAACAAACTACTAAAAAGTGTTTTTTTCCTCAAATATTTAAAAGTAGTTTTTACTACTATATATTTCAATATATCAAGAGAGCCATTAAGAGAGTGCATAATCAATTTTGAAGAGAAAATATGGATATACAATGGACCAATATAATACAATGTAAACACGAATTTATAGTCAATATTGCTATTATAAAAATCATTATTTTTTCTATATAATTTGTTTCCTAATATCTTTGAAAAGATACGGCTAAAGGCGTACGTTATATCCTACATTTCAATGTTTGTTCAGGCTTCCCTTAACTACAAGCTGAGATACGCAAAGTATTATCTATTTTCTTTTCGTTGGCCCAAAAAGATCGACTTCGAAAAAAAGATTATTACTTCTTACTTTTCACAGAAGGCATCTCACATATCTCATCAAGGAAATTAATAAATTTTTTTCCCTTAAGTCCTTAGACATTATTTCTTTCGGATGGACATACGCACTCCCTGAAAATCGAAAATATTCCGAATTATAAAGCTGGAATAAACAGCAACTTAGAGAATATAAATATATTATATAAATATATTATAAATATATTTTATAAATAATATTATATAAATATATTATATAAATATATTCATCATCCATAACAGAATTAAATTGTTTACATTTTTGGAGCTTCATATTTCCTATCTTTCTCTTTAACATACGCAACATCGCGCAAACAATTACTCATTCTCTGCGTGCGTATGTCGATCTATACTTGCGGGGGCATCGCTTTGGGGGCAGGGCGGCCTGCGGAAGATCAACGAGGCGCGTTGCCTCGCGGACAAGCACGACGGCTGAGGCAACGGCCGAACGAAAATGTATGACACTTCCTCTTGCGTATATTTTTTTGTGTCGGTATGTTAAACGAGAGGCGTCGAGCAAAGCAGCGATCGCGCACGATTACGAGTGGTGGCAAACCGAGCCGAGCCGAGAGCATCGTCTTCTATTCGGTCAGTACTGGCAATTAGAGCCAATAGCGCCTCCCCCATCTCCCTTGTCTCTCCTCTCTCTCTCTCTCTCTCTTTCTTCCTTTCTCCTCTCTCTTGCTTCTCGATTCGTCTCGTCTTTAATCACGCTGCTCTCGAGGTGTTGAATTTCTTGGTACGATGTTAATCTTCCCCTTTCTGTTAACGATGCCCGTCATCGTTGAGAGACGTCTTGATGAATAACATCGACTAACTACTCGCTTGAATAAATGCGTGATTTAAGCGCGATACGATCGATAATGCTGCCGAGAGAGAAGCGATTGTGTATAAATTTCCTCCTGCGACGTATCCAGATATGTATCTCAATGTTTGGAGAGAAGAGAGATCAATAATTGTAGAAAGTATTCCTGAAATTAAAATAATTTAGATCCAGTTTCAATTTGAAGCTAATTATATATATTTAATTAGGTATATTTTTATGATATATAATTAATATAGTTGTCAGGGAACTTTTCGAAACATCAGCAGAAATTCATCGAGATGTAACATTTATCCTTTGTCCTTTTAGATTAAAAAAACACTAATGTGTAAACTACATTATTAATTATACAAAAAATTTTTAAAATTATTTTTCATTATTAATTATAAAAAAAATGAATTAAAATTAACGTCAATAAAACTATCAAGCAGAGGTTTGCGAGCCTGATCTTCAATTTGTCATATGATTAATGTCAATAATAGTCAGTTTTAGTAATAGAGCAACTAATATTTTTTCTATACAAACTATAGCATATTTTTGACATTTATCTCATATCGACCTCGGAGTATCCTCGAATGCTACAGCACTGTCCTGATCTTCAGCACGTCGTGGTCCAGACACGACGCGGAGATCACCGAGCGCTCTCGGAGTGAACCGAGCTTGGTAGGAGAAGTAGGTGCGGCATGAAGTGGGGGGTGATCTCCCTCTTCGCCGGCAGCCGGTGTCATGCGGCAGAGGGAAATTCCCCCCGATCGGTGCCGCGGTGGCCACTCTGTGTCCCTTTTTGTTGCCGCCCATTAGGCGCCACCGCAGCGTGATTCGCAACTGTGTTTCTTTATCTTTGCCGTGTGGAGAATCGAGACTCCGAGACTGTACGAACGATTGCACGCATTTCTCTGCGTATTTCTTTTCCTTTCACTAGCCCGTTCTCACCTTCTTCTCCTCTCTCTTTTTTCGTTATTTCTTCGCTCACTCCAACTTCATTATTGTCTATTCTCTCTTTGTTTATCTTTGATTCCAAAGTCCTCTTTTTCTCTTTTTGTTTTTTCGGTTTTCTTCTTTTCTTTCCTTTTTTTTTACAAGTCATACATGAATCAGCAGTTGTAGGGATGATATCTCCCTGTGATTTCATTTAGAGATGAATCGTCCTGCGACATAAACTGGTTAAAGTTCTTCAAAGATTAAAATATATTCCACATAATTTAAAATCCTTTAAAATCTCAAATCTCAAGTATATTCCGCCACGGATTTTCCGCGCACTTTGTACAAGTGTACGGAATATCGCATTGTTGACTCTGATAGCGCGCGGTGTCTTTGTGTCGACTTCGTCTTTTCATCTCAAACTCGAGCATTCTCTTTTCTTCGTCTCGGTTGATATCTCGTAACACATGTCGCGTGGATGCTTGTGGGAATCACCAACAAAGAAAGATCAATGATTCACAGAACTAAATCTGAAGATTCGTGATACCTTTATTCGTCCGAGATTTATATTATTTATATTCTATTAGATTTATATATTTTATTCTATTTTATATTTATATTTTATTATCTCAGTATGCCTATAATTGTGTAGAATAGAATACTTGTTTTTTTCTTAAAAACTTTTTTCTCTAAAATGCTAATATAATAGTTTAACTCGTTATTACCTGTGATATATGACTATTCTTATGTACACATTCACAAGGCATGTGCGGCTTATGGCTAATCAATGACTATAGGGACACTGTACCTGAGACTATTGTGTATATATATATATATATATATATATATATATATATATATACATAACAATGCAAAAATCTTAAAATAATACTATCAATGCAAGATTATTTTTTCTATACTAATGATTATTTTTTCTATGAAAAAAGATTCTAAATAGTGCAAAAAAGCTATTTATATCATTTTTGCATTGTTTCATACAATTCTTAATTTACCTGCGCTTGACATATTGTTTATTAGAAAAAAGCCACCTTCATGTATCTTCTTTAACTTTCGATGGTCAAGGTATTATTCTTGCTGTGACTATTAGCATCCTTGCGTTTTCCCGAGGGCGGTTCAAATCTCACCGTATCTTCTGAGCTTTGACCTCCCTCAGTTCCGGTCATATACACGTGAACGTAAAATTTGACATTTGACAGTTGATAATTTGTCCGTAGCAAATAGGCAGCGTGCATGTGTGAGATAGAGCGATTGTACGCGGCAGGTCACCGTGTAGAAAATTCCTTACCGGATCCAGTGTGAATGAACAAAAACCTGACCTCTTGAACAACTGTGCACCATGTGTGCACCACTTGCGCTCTCCTCTCCAATTCTCCTTTTCTCCTTGCATCATCATCATATCCTCTTTTTCTTTTCTGTTTCTCGCAGTTTCTTTCTTTCACAGTGTTTCCATAGTCTTTCGATGATGCTTTTCACCCTCGATGGAATTTTTATCTCTCAAGAGCAACACACTATTATTTTATTATATACTATATTTATTATCACTAGTCAAACATTTATGAAATATGCAAGAAAAGCGAAATTCTTCAATTTTTTTTTATTAAATTTTCTTCCAATTTTTTAAATGCATTAAGTTATATAAATGCAGCATTTTTTATATCATACTAAACGTTATTTTCAAATAAAAAAATATATGGAAACTAGCATTGGAATAAGCAAAATTGTCCTCCATTTTTCAAAATTCATGATAGAATTGGTTACACAAAATTATAAATGTATCATTTTCATTTTATTTTAAAAATAGATTAAGAATATTAAATATTTTTATATATTTTACGCGTAAGGGAGTAGAGAATAAAGCACATTTATAAGTCAATATCAAATAAATTAAAAATAAGAAAAAATTGAAATATTTGCACACATGCTGCATACTTTTTATAACTGATATTTTATTTAAAAAGATTGAAGAATTCTCAAAATTGAAATTTTTGTTCCTCAAAAATGATTAGTCTATTATATCAAACATTATCTTCTCAAGCTACAAAATGTTCGATATTAAATCGTATAAAAAATCGTTATTATTCACTGTTATAATTTTATTATATGAGTAATCGCGCGACAGGAGGAACACGTGGATCGGTCATATAGGTTTCCTGCATTCTCTTATCTGTGCCAAAGGTTTAGATTACGCGCCATACATTACTCATTACTCGGCCAAGCGTGTGGCTATGAAAATAAGCGGTAGTCAAAGCCAATATCTCGCACTATAGGACAACACTCGAAAGACAAATAGAAATCCGAATATCGCGATGCACGCGCACGCGCGCTTTCTCGTAGCAAATATTTGTCTTCTGACTCCGAAACAGAGGGAGAGAAAGAGAGAGAGAGAGAAAAAAAGAAAGAAATGGAAAGAAAGAGAAAGAAAAATACATTATATTTAATGCTTAACTTGAGCCGTGTGTGGCCATAACTTGCTAAACTTATCTAGCGAATATACGAGAAATATCCAAGATACTATCATTGGTATATCTTCTCTAGTGTGACGCACATATTATATATGTTTATTACTCTATATATCATAGGGTGACTCACATAATCGAAAAATATAAATTATTTTGCAGAATATTTATTCCTTCAAAGCAGAAGTTATATTTTTTATTGTATATAATTCTATGGAAATGTGCGAAGTGTGATAAAACCTTTATACGTTAATTATAAAATACAAATCTATATAATTTCATTCTTGAAAACTCTTTGAGAAATATTAAGAAAAGTCAATCATGTGAAAGCTTTTTACTGATTATCGATGTTAATAGTACATATTTTATTTGTTTTATTAATGATAACACAATGATTCTTTAACAAATTTTGTAATGATTTAACATGGATTATTACTTGATATTAAAAATGAAGAGCTTTTGTTAAATTTTATTGAATTATAAATATACAACAAGATTATAACTCTCATATTAATATAAATAATTAATATAAATATGTTAAAACAATTATTGATAAAAGCAAATCATTTTGTACATCGATCTCTATTGGGTGATGAAAATAATTTTAACTTTATGTAGAACTATAAAAGTGTTTCTTTGTGTGTTGTATACGAGATCCTAATATTTTCTCATTTCTGTTTCTTTTTTTTCTGCTATTCTTACGTGATGACGTTTTATCCTACGAAAGAGAGATAAACTCGTTGATATCACGCAGTCACATGATTTTTTACTGTCAAAGGTAACGCTTGGAGAAATATTTCTGTGCTTGTTTACTTTGAAAATGTCGCGTCGTTTATTTTAATGTTGAATGTGAAAAGAATTAATAGTATTTTTGTTAAAGAAAAATTTGTTTTTTTTTAAATCGGGCAAAGAAAAAGAAAAGAAACATTTATAAAACATTATCATGAGATATGTATGGAAGATATAATTAATATTTTTTCTTAATTATTCTGTACTACTATTTTATTTTATTTTTTAAATCCTTTTTTAATTTGTATCGTGATTATCAATTTTAAATTTGACTAAGAATTAAAAATATAATTAAGAGTAAGAAATATAATTTCAAATGTAAATGTCAATTTTATTTAATTTTTTTTCTCGTATAGAGATCATCAAAATTTAAGATTGTTCTTTAAAAATTCTTTAATTTTGTGCCTAAACTAAGCAGGGGTCTGCAATAGCGCAAGTTTGTGTATAAAAAAAGTGAACAGATTGAATATACATCGAGAGAGGCAAAGGGAGTACGTGGAAGATCAATCGAAATAGTTTACCTATGGGTTCTATGTATCACGGATCGCCATATGGGTGACAGCCTGAAGGCTCACCGT